ACTGACTGACTGACCTGACCTGAGGTAAATTTCTGCGGGAAATTTGATTTTGTCGCCACCATGTGGTCGCTTGTGACGAGCACTATATCTGTGGCGGTCGGCAACGTGATTCCTCATTATTTACTTTTTTTATTATCGACTATCCTTGTGTTAACTCCTTTGGATCCTGCCAAGGCCGCACAAGATTTCACGGTCTTCCGGGCACAGCAATATGACTACCAGGGTGTCAATTTAGGTTTGTACGATATTCGCTCTATTACCCGCACTTCAGGAACAAGAGCATCTGTAATGAATTGTGAATCGCAAGCGCTTAGCAGTAGACTTGTGGCGAGGAAGTGCTTAGTTTTAAACCTGGCGGATTTAACCCTTGACGTAATCAAAAAGGCTGTATTCCACAATATCGCCGGGATATTAATCATTCTTCCATCTCAGCCAATGTCTCCCCCTTTACAAGAGGTACCAGTGAATCACTATAAATGAATTTCAGCATTTTATGCAAATTGAACATGCAATATTAAACGAAGAGTTCACTCTTCCGGTTTACTTTGTCGTGGAATCTCCTGGAATTCACTCAGTGTTCGAGGAAATCAAACAAGTTACGACCGCTGAGATCGAATCAACGAGCGCTTCCGGTAAATCGCTTTCATTATAATAAATTCCTTTCAGCGATTTTCAATGTTGTTTGGTCGACGGGATATAAGATGAGTGTCAAGGCAGCGACTCCTAAGGTCGCTCCAAGTGTATCAATCACCAATATCGAGGTTTTTGTTTTTGTTTGATTACATTTGTATTTAGGGTAATCTTGAAGGAGCCCAAGTTCCGAAGCCCCCGGTCGTTGTCATATGCGCCTACTACGACGCCATGTCCGCGATTCCGGTGAGATTATTTCCATTGTCCTTTATTAAATGATAAGTTAGCTCTCAGGTAGAATCGAGGCTAACCTTTGATTTACTGGTAGAATTAAGTAAGGATTGACTGTAGCTATTACTGTTATCATAATTACCTCCAGAAACAGCCCAACCAATCTGTCATCGAAACGTTGAGTCGCGCCGGAACCCAATAATAAATTTTAGTACCAATGTAAGCGCCCGCCAATCTGCCTTCCTTCAACCGTTTTGAGATGCTGATCTATATAGTTAGAAGAACCTCTTCGCAAAAAAATCAAGGATTATAACTCGAGGGATATTTTACCCTGTTTGATAATTCTCAATGTAACCTGATTTTTCACAAGTTTCCTTATCGACCCATTTCCCGGCTAAAACCAGCGCTTAGTGTCGCTTTCACTGGCTTGCTCTGGGCCCAAAGGTTTGAAGTTTGAACCCAGCCAACTTTGGTGGCAGGTAGCTTAGCTGTCACCGGCTGATGCTTGCTGGTCAAGTATTAGTTATATATTCAGCCTCACCTGGACTGAAAGGCAGTAAGGAATTCTCTCGCATAATTCTTCTCTCGGTCGTACCCAAATGCAAACCTTATCAACGGAAAATAGGACACCGTTTGAAGGTATAGTCATCGACCTATTTCAAATAGCAGGACGTGAGGACGCTTTCGCCTGTGAGGTGTCCTGGTAGTGGCGTGTTCTGTCCTGGGACTGACTCGCCTGCGAGCTGGTATTGTTACCGGTCTAACCGTTCCGGAGTTATGTGGAATTAGATAAAGGAAAAAGTGCCGGCGCAGCCCCTGTTTATTGGCGGTTAGGGTGAGCTTAAGTCTGGAAAAAGGGAACCCCACGCTAGGTCTAACTCGCGCTTAAAGGTCTGTACCGATTGCCGGAAGCCGATTCCACAGTATTCAAGGTGAGGACGGACGAAGGCTGCATATAGCGAGATGAAAGCTTCGGCGCTTGTGTTCGTTATGGCGGTTTTAAGACAGAATAATGCTTTATGGGCCTTGACAACTGCTGCGTCGCATACTGCAGATGGGGTGAATTTGCATGTAACCCTAACCCATAGGCCTGTCATATTACTCTTCGATGGTAGGGGTTCCGGAATCCCAAGAGGGTTGGTGACGAAGATTGAAAAACCTACGACGCCTACAAGCATGTGGCTCTTCAGCGCGTTGGGCGGTAGATCTCATTTGGTTGACCTTTCACATATTTTGTGGATATCAGCTTGGATGGTGTCTAGTTGGCTACTGTTTCCTACTAATTTAACGTCGTCAGCGTAGAGGAAACGGGGATTTTTAAGGCCTTCGGTGATATCGTTCACGAAAGTGAGAAGGAGGAGGGAGAAGTATGCAACCTTGGGGCACTCCACTGGTGGGGGAGCCAGCGTCCGAATGAGTCTCTCTGACTGACGATGAATAAATGACCGGAGAGGAGGTTTTCCATCTGGTCGCATATGGTCTTAGAGATTCCTGTTTACGCTTGAAGCACAATAGTGAATGGTTCACGGAGTCGAAGGCTTTTTGGAAATCTAAGTAGCACACTTCAACCTGAATGCCTCTATTCAGTCTTTCCGTGATAACGTCCAGGAAGGTGAATAGGTTCAAGAGGCAGGATTTGCTCTTTAAGAATCCGTGCTGCGCGTCGCTGAAGAAGCCTTTGTTGAAAAGAAAGGAGCATATCTTGTCTCGCAGGATGCGCTCAAGCGTTTTAGTTATCATACCGATTAGGCTAATAGGTCTGTATTTTGATATACTGGACCTATCTCCGTCTTTGAAAACGGGAATCATAGTTGCCTTCTTCCAGTTTGAAGGTATGACGCCCAGGGAGAGAGACATACTGGATAGGGAGGCCAGTTCGGGGCTTAGTAAGGAGCTGAGATGTCTGATGATGGAAGGATGGACACCATTAGAACCGGAGGATTTGCTTGGATTGAGGTTAGACAAGGCCCTGTATACGTCCTCTGGGGGTAATAAAGACCTCAGGCATAGCGTATACATGGTTGTTGCTGGGCTAATATAGGTTGCTGTCGGTTTTGTGCACGTTCAAGAAGTACGAGAGAAAGATGTTCGCGATTTGCTCATCCGAGGTGAGCAGGTTGCCTTGCACTCGTAGTACGTTGCCGATCTCTTTCATTGTAGCAGACCTTGCTTGTACGTACCCGAAGTAACGTTTTGGATTCAGCTTGGCGTCTCGTGCGATGCCAAGTTCGTATACCTGTCCAGCCTTCCTGGAAATCCTGATCACTTGGATTCTCAGAAGTTTGTATCTTCTATAAGAGGCGAAACTCTTAGGACTGATGTATGTTTTCCAAGCTAACCGTTTCCTTTCCATGACGTTCGCCGGGCGAGCGTTCCACCATTGGTCACTCCTGAAAAGACGATCCACCAATAGGAGTCTATTCGATTCCTGTTTGCGAGGCCTTACTCCATGGTATCGAGTGCATTATCTCTCAATGGAAACTTTGTTCCAGTTCTGCCCCCAGGTTACCTCATAGAATATTCGTGATTAGTATTGTCACTTTGAATTCGGCGATAATTCTTCATACACAGTTTCGTAATGGTGAACCACGTCGTAACTGCACGCATAGAGACCCGCAACTAGACGGGTTGCAGCTTTCTGCATTCATTTCACTCCCACCAGCTCTCCCCCGGTCCTGGGAAATGCCGCAGCGTCTCATCCCGAAGTAGGATGGATTACGGACGCATACAAAAGTCTGAACACGTTTCGACAAACATCTAAAAGAGCGACGAATTGCCCCCACGATGCTCCCAGCTGACGCAAATACCTTCTCAATGTGGGAGGATGAGTTTAGCACCTCTCGCAATCACGCTGGTCTAAGGTCGCGACGACCCAGTTTCATACGTTCACGGATGTTGATTAGTGTTGGGACGAAGCTCAACGCCATTCGTCCCACGATAAGCCCGGCCGCATACTTGCTAATTCAGTGAGCAAAAATCAAACAATTTTACAACACATTCGACCCAAGTTGGGTCATCTCGGATCAATACTAATTTCACGGAGATAAATCAATAATATTGCGTCGTACGGTAATATTCACTCTCTCCGTTCGTCCGATCCGCAGCCTATGGCCGTTTGAACATTGCTCACTGTGTATTTCATTGGTACATTCTTTTTCCTGCATTGATCAATGTTATTTTCAGTCGCATATAAGCAGCAGAGTGAACTTGTAAATTGACTTGTGACGTACGACCCGTGACTTGTGATTTTTGCTCAACGCCATTAAAATCCCGTGCTGCTGAAGTCGTGTCTTCTCTCTCTCTCGTGTTTGGGAGGCCTGAGTGATCGATAGCCGACCGTACATCCTGTGTTTCACCTAGGTAGCGTCCGCTCCTAGAACTATCATCCGCTCACGGACTTAGTGTTAGTCCGCTGTTCTCGTTTCGCGTGTGCTACTGTTGTTACTGTGCTATATCATGTATTCTTTGCACCTATGGTGTTCTCCTGCGATATAGTGCTTTGCGATCTAATAGTAGGCAACGGACAACGCGGCGCAAAAAAAAACAAATTGGCGACATAACAATTAGTTGTGTCCAATCATCACCAGTTCAGTTCTAGTGAGATTTTTCTCCTACTTATTTGCGTGACAAATGGCGATAGTATAGTAACTCAAACAGCGTACGCAAGACTGTAACGCCTTTGGCGCTGACTTACTGTTTTCTTGAAGCTGAAAGATTATGCATGTTGTGCCACTGTTCGGTCAGCTCTGCTTTACGGCTGCGAGACTCTAAATTTCCAATTGGGAGACATTCGTCGTCTAGATTTCCTCGACTGCCAATGTTTACATAGTTTGACTTGGATTAGATGGTGCGAACGTACAAGCAGCATCGATGTAAGCCGTCGAATATCTGGTAATGATTCGTTAGTGTAGTCGTCACGTTGATTTTTTTTATTACACACTTGTGTGGTGAACAGCAGACGGTGCGAACCCCATAGTCACCGGGAACTGCTGTTCTGTGATGGAAATCGGTATCCTAAGCTCCGGGACTTGGTTTGGCGAACCACATAAGGCTCTGCTAGGTTAGACGTGACATTACACCGGACGCGAGCAAGGCACCTACCACCGAAGGTAGGTGGCAGTGGCAGGGCTGGAACCTCGGACCATTGGGTNGGTTCTAACACACGTCACAACAGGACAACAGTAACGGCCTGATCGATCAACGACCGGTCGTCTCAGCCCCTATCGGCACAAGACGAACAAAGATCAGCCAACCAGACAACTCTACGTCTCTACATCACTCAAAGACTTATAGGATGAAAGGGGCACTCGTAAGCGCTCACCCAGTTACTGCATTGAGAGTGTCACCTCGATTGGTGATGGAACGTTTGACATACAGTTGCTAAGCTCGGCGAACGACTAAACTATCACCCGTTGGCAGTGATAAGCAATTTTCACTTTTCTGTATCTCGCTGTAGGATGATGATGATGATGATGACGATAGGAAGCTAATCTGTCCCACATTTGGCCATTTAAAAGGAACAGCATTATTGTCACCGGGTTCCCCACGGTAGACTATCTATCTCTTAACCTCCATGACGTTTGTCCTCACTACTGTTTTGTTTCTACAGTTTGTCGGAGAACTTAAATTAATCAATTTTTAAGTGAAATTAACTTATTCTGCTATATCTAACAGACAGTCAACCAGCATATAAAATACCGGTGATACTAACACGAGGGCTGCACTTTAACGCAAATTTGAGTTGGACGAAAATTTGCCGATTTTATCCCCAAACAAGAAATTATTGATACTGTGTAACCCCTTTCACCACTGCGTTTCCAATTGGTAGACTTCGAAATTCCTATAACTTCTATTCCAACGTAAGTATATCACCCGGTCTTGTTTCGTTTGTGCTTTCTCTAGAGTCTTGCCTACGGTTCCGATGCAAACGGAAGTGGGGTAGTGGCGTTACTGGAATTAGCTCGCATATTCTCACGTTTCTACGCAGACGCTTCCACCACACCTAAGTAAGTTCAGAGCGAAAACTCAAGATTCGGTGTGATGAGTCCATATTTTGATTGTTTACCTGATCGCTGCTACCTCAGTAGGCACGAATTATCTCCATCACAGGTAGGTAGACTGAAAGCACTGAAGAGTTCTCAATGGAACTCTTTCCACCTGTTCCTTTACTTTTAACAGAATATGCCTCATAAGTGAAGGAATTTATTGTTTAGCATTGGTCGATAATCCTTCCTATCAAACGTTTATTATATATATATATATATATATATATATATATATATATATAAATTTGAAGCACATCTAAGTCCAGACTGTGTACCAAACAAACCACAGTATAGTAATCTGTGTAAAAAAAGAAAGTACCATGATATGTTAATGGTCGAAATGTTGCCAGGTTGTCCAGGCGAAGGCAGGTAAATTTTCTTGGGAACTTTGCAACGGGAGCCTTCGACTAGCCAAAAGCTGACCCCCAGCGAGGCGGTGTGCGAAAATCGCCATCCACTGGAGGCCAGTGTCCAGTTCATCTAATTGTACGCGCTTTGGACGGAGTCTAACGTTCAAGGTACCCAATACACCTCGATACTCAATCGAGCCGGTGACTACCACCACAAACAGGAATTTGTGGGTGTGTGGTTGGTACGCCTCGTCTTGGTTTGTTTAAACTCAGGGTGTTCAGCCCACTCCCCTAGGCGAACTATCAGTGATTCGCCAACCCGGTTATAACCCTATTTTTTTTAGCTTTTCGTCCTCTCATTTTGGTGGAGAAACACCTATGCAACGAGAAGGCAGTGGGTACGGCTTCCTCAGCAGAGGCTGTTTGAAACGCTTGACCGTATAGGAGCACTTGGTGAGGTGCAAGGGAAGGGTGACCAGCCACAATTGAAGATACCCACCCAGACCATACTGAGGCTTTCGTTCGTTATTCTTGATCTCAAGAGTTTTTACACGGCAAGATGAATCTGAATTTCTCATTATATGATCTGCCTAAAATGCACGGATTTCTGTTTCGGTGAGTGATAGATCTGTTTCACAGTGACAGTTTGATTTTTGTTGCAGTAGGAACGCAGTTGGGCGACAAATGACTAGATGGGGCTGGGTAATTTTACATTTGCAGTCTAGGGACACCAAGATCAGTTTGAATGAGTGTTTACGCTCAAAAATGCTTATGACTTTTATTGGTGAAGATCGATGATATTCTCTGTGTTCGTAAATCCACGGCATTGAAGAATTTCTTAACTGGGGATATTCCCTAAGCTCCACAAGTCTAATTGTTCCACATTGATGAGATAAATCGCTGTCACGCCTGTGCTACACTGTCGAAGAATATTCGTGATTCGGCAGTGCAACGCCCATTAAAAGCCTCTTAGTAGATGCGATTAGATTGTTGAATTGAGGTGAGAGAGATCGTAGTAGGAAACAATGTGGCTAAATATCGTAGGCAGAAGATGAAAAGCAACTTGACTTTTAGAGTATTTATTGAAGTATGATCTATTATGGTTCATGCAGTGCGCACGTCTCCAGGCTCATCAAATCCTCAGCAGTGTCCTAAGTGCAAAAAGAACAATTGTTTATTTTCCGCTGTTTGAATAAGTTTCATTTAGTTTTCGATTTCATCGTGGTTTTCGATGTAATTCTACGAGCAGTTGCGGTCTGGTAAAGCTTTCCGAGTGAAGCTGCATCCCGTTCACAGATCACAGGTAAGATCTCTCCCTTTACCGCTTTTTCCAACCCGTAACATTCCCTCAGACAACTTGTTCGTCACTCACCAAAGTTCGTCGTCAAGTAGC